GGCCTTCTGAGCCTCCACAGCCTCCCGACCCAGGAAGGGGATGCCGGACTTGAGCTTGCAGGTGAAAGCCAAGCCTGCTTCTAGCGGGGTGTCATCGGGGCGCAGGTCTGCGTGCCAGTGCCTGTACCCTGCGGAGAGCAAGCACGGGTCACCCAGCCTCTCCCTGCCACGGCAGCAAGCCCAGGGCGAGCAGCATCAGGAGACCAAGGCATCACCCCGCCTGGTCTAGTTGGAGGGGGCAGGGGGGTTGGAACTGGATGGTCTCTAAGGTCCCTTCCAACCCAAACCATTCTGTGATTCTTGGACACCTTTGATGCTCTCGATTCGCTTAGCCCTGGGCAAAGCACCCTTGAGAAGAGCCCATATTGAGCAAAGAGCGCTGGGGCTGGTAGCACCCCTGTCAGCAGCTGCCAGCCCTCTGGACACACCAACCCATCCTCGAAGCTGGGAAACACCCCATTTACCCTGGTCCCTCATGCAGAGGCAAATCAACAAGTGCAACTATAAGGAAAGCAAGAAACCTTTCTCTATGCTGAGGCTGTCGATGGCTCTGTAGCCGGCGTTGGTGATGCCGTGCCGGGCACCCGCCTGCATCACCGCCTGGTAAACCTTCACGCAGTCCCCCTTGGGCACGTGCAGCTCCCAGCCCATCTCGCCGACGAACGACAACCTCATGGCACGGACCTGAGAAAGCCAAGAGGCCAGAGAGCCCTGAGGATGGAGCCAGGCTGTGCGGCGCAGGAGAGGCTGCGGGGCTGCCCGCTGCCGTGGTTTGGGAAAAGCCAGCTCGTCCAGGACTTGTGCAAACGCCCTGCTTTGGTGGAAGGCTTTTCTTTGCTCTCCCTAGTGCACAAAGCCAGGATTAGACTGAATTCCCCGTCTCTGGACAGCCCAGGCTTGGCACTTCAAACCCACAGCTCCCTGGTGACCGTAAATCAGGAGGGGTGGCCAGCGGGCAGGGGTGGCTGCCTTCAGCATCCTGTGGCCACTGATCCCAGTGGATCGGTGCAGCC